CCTGCGCTGGATGGTGAATTCCAGCAAGCGATGATCGCTATCGCCCAGGTGATCAAGAACCAGCTGGGATGGGGAATGGAGCCACATGCAGTTCATTTAGGGAGGCATGGGGATGGGGGGAGGGGGGCTCCCGCTGCTGTATGCACTCTTGGGCAAGCATGAGGAGGCACGTGCCCCCTGGATCTGTGGGTGGGGTGGGGATGGGGCGGACTGTCGCTGTGGGTTGCCCAGGGTGCCAAACTTCCTTGCTCTGGTACTGCCTAAAGGTGACATTCTGGCTGCACTGAAGACCGTAGATGTTGGATAATTGATTTTAAAAGACCAGGAGAAGAATCTAGATAAGACTTAACAGCAAGGTGCTTAGCTCTTTAAAATGTTACTGGTGTATTACTCTCCTTCTCTGCTGCCTCTGTGCTTTTGCTTTTTTTAAACCTTTTCGTTCCTCTTCAACTCCCACCTCTTCCCCCAGTCTCTTGTGTGTTCCCTTTTCTCACTAAGGCAGGATTTCCATCTGCTGCTGCTCCAGGTTTCCTCACTTTGGTTGGAGAGCTGTTACTTATTTTTTCACCCTCCTCCCTTTTATAATCCATGTGTAAATGCTATTATTTTTTACCCTCACTGCTTGTCTCTTTCATTTATTTCCGTTCTCTTATTTTTGTCACCTCTCTTTCCTGACATGTTTCTAAAGGCCTTTTTGTTCTCAATGATTTTGTTCTTCTTTGCTTTTCACTGAAGCTCTCCTGGGACACAATTGCTTCCTTTTAACACATTCAGAGGCACCTCTGAAGTCTTTAGTGCATCAGGCTGCTGTGTCTCTCCAAAGACTTAGGGTCACCTTCACTAATTTTGTGAAATACGACATGCAGTAACCAGAAGTGGGAAAGCTGAGCCAAGTAGTTTCCCTTTACTAAGGGACATATTCAAACTCACAAATGATGCCCATATCCATTAAAGTCAAGTTTGCAATAGAGTCATTAGCTGGCATGGTTATGTGGGTCAAGAGCATGATGACGTGTGACTTCTTACTGTCATAGGTTTGCCAAAAAAGGCCTTAATATTGTTCCCATGATTATACTAACAAAATTGCATTGTCCCAGTGTAGTTTTTTTAGCATGGGGAGGGAAGGGGAGTAGAGAAGGTAGGAAGAGAGTTGGCAGAAATGAGCTACGGCATTTTACAGTGTGCAAGCCAGGTTTATTCTCCCAAAAAAGGAAATCTAACATTAAGGTGCATTTTATATTACAATACTATGTAATGAAAAGAATTATAAAAAAAGTTGACCAGAAGTCAGTCACATTTATGTTAAAAACTCCCCACATTTTATGGTGGTGGAGGGGTTGGGGTCCTATGCACCATTTTCAGCCTCTGTACCAGTAACAGTCTGGTGTGGAGGCTGTGGTCATCCCCCTGTGCCTGATGATCTAGCACCTTACTAGTGCTGCCCAGTACCAGTTGGGGAACCTGCAGCCATGGGGGCAATGCCAGGTCTGCTGGGGCCGGGATTAAACTGGGGAGAGTCCCAGTGTCTGGGACCAGCCAGCTCTTAGGTCACAGAATCATAGGGAAGTTTCATAGTTTCATAGTTTCTAGGGTCGGAAAGGAC